TGTGTGTGTGTGTGTGTGTGTGTGTGTGTGTGTGTGTGTGTGTGTGTGTGTGTGTGTGTGTGTGTCTGCCACCACACCCCATATGTCCTCTTGTCCCCGTCTCTGTGTGGGATGTGACCTCCGTTGTTGAAGCCCATTAACCTCACTAACACCGACAGCAGCCACACTGTCAACATGTCGCTCCCCACCGGGATCAAACCTTCTGCAATCTAAAGGGAAGATACACGTTGTTTGAAGCTCGGCCAGTCGGTCAGATCAACTTGTTTAATGTTAACTGGACTGAACAGTGAACTTTCATAAACCCAGAGACGATGATCTGAGGATTTTTATGAGATGTATTCTTACAGTAGTTTGTTCTTTACTTTATTTTCTCCAAAGTTAGAATATAATCAGAAATATCTCTTATTATATATATATATACTTATTTTTATTTTAGTCTGCATTTTCTTTTTATTATCTTACAATTTTGAATGAGACCATCGCAAATAAGTTATTCTTTTATCTTAGTAATATATGCGCCAAGGTTTTTTTCCCACTGATATTCTATTTAACTAGGGAAACAGATTGTGTTTTAGTCTGGTCCCGATTTTTTAAATTAAACACTTTTATCAATGTAAAGCATTAATACAGTTAAGACACTGAAGTACTTACAACGGCTTGGAGGAAATGCATTCATGTTGTGTGTATGTGTGTTGTTGTGTGTGTTTATAAAGAATATTAATCATCTCATAAGTGATGGAGTTTAGATGAGAGCGGTTTGATTCAGGCTGGTCGTTTTCAGGTTGAAAAAGTGCGGCAAACCCACACCTTATGCAAATGTTCACATATACACACACACACACACACACACACAAACACACACACAAACCCACGAACAGACGCCTCTTACCTAATGTGTCCAAAAAATATTTTTACACGTCACACAAACACGCACTCAGACCCTTGTTCCACTTTAAAAGAATCAATTTTCTGCTTGACTGAGCGATATGTTTAGGTGTCTGTATTTCTGTCCCTGTGTGTGTGTGTGTGTGTGTGTGTGTGTGTGTGCGTGTGCGTGTGTGTGTGCATATCTAGGTCATATCAATGTCTGTAAGTGAAAGCTTTTGTCTGGTCTTGTTAAGCCCTTAATGGACTCAAAAGGACTGTTCACTTGTCCCCATGCACGAAATGTTTGTGTGTGTGTTCATGTTTGTGCCCCTGTGTGTGTGTGTGTGTGTTTGTGTGTGTGTGTGTCTGTGTGTTAGTTATAATGATTGTTCTAAAGTGGTTCGGTATCCATATGGCGACCTCTGAGAGCTGGGGTTTGAATGCTAAGCACAAGCTTGAGAGGGGCCTTAAACACACACACACACACACACAAATAAACACAAACACGCATGTAAGTCAAATGATCATTCTCTCACACACTCAGACCTGGGCCCATAGTGTATTTCATCACACACACACATTTTGTCCTTGTGTGTAAGGCCTGTCACTCGGGCCAGCATCACAGTGGGGGGGTGAGGACAATCTGTCTCCTCTCCCAAACAAAGGACTGACACATTTTCTCCCTCAGACCGAACCAACATAACAACATTACCTGCTCTTATTTCCTTCAACGAGGAAAATATTTAGCTGCACCCATCTCATCCGCGTTGCTCCAGACTCCTGGTCGCTCTTATGATTTTGTGCAGGGATTTAATTTGCAGTACCTCTGCCAGTAAAGTTGGACGGAGGGTACGTTTCCCCTGCAGCCTGACGGTCTGTTGATTAGCAAGGCATCCTGGATTTGGCTGAGGTTTTGGCCGAGGGACAGACCTGATTGGAATTGATAGTTCTGGAATTTCTGCCACTAGAAGATGTTTAGCCTCACCTTATGTGCGGTGTGTTTACAAGTGTGACTTTTTTAATAAGAAAGAATTAAAACGAGGGAAACTAACTTTTAAAGAAGAGGAGAGTTGCACAGTGTCAGAAGAGAAGTAATGTTTAGAGACTAGTGGCTAATATCAGTATAACAGCTCTTGCTTAAAGATATACAGACTTAGAAAAATTTCTTGATTGTCGTGATTGTCCACTTAAAGTCAATAAACTCTCGTGTGCAGTTGTTATCCAGAGGTCTGCCTCCCTGCCGAGGATGGTAAAAACTTTACGGATATGTTGACGGTCCAACAGACGCGGCAGAACAATGTAGATGAGAAAGAAGGAGTGACATTAAAGAGTGTGTGTGAACATTTAAATCCTGTCAACAAGCGTCAGTTAAAGATTATTCAAATCGGACATCCTTATTCTTGGTATTGCTTTGACCCTGACACTTTAATAAACACACTAAAATATTCTATGAACATTCATATCCTCTCAGAAAATGTTTTTTATTTCACTGTCACTAAAAAACCTTTCACAGCTCTGGATCAACAACAATGAGAAGATAAAGTTGTTGACAGTTGAATCACATGTGACCCGGCTGCCATCTTCTGTCAGATTCACTTGTGTTACGTTGTGTGACTCTCGACGCCCTGAGTGGTAAAAGTTAAACTATCAGTTCACTGACTTCTCATTCATATTCATGTTACTGTTTCAACTTCTGCCTGCGCATGTGTCAGGGTACAAGCTCTGGGCATGGAGCCATATGTGCATGCATATTTCTGTGTGTTCATGGCTAAATATGAAACTGTGTCTGGTCTGTGTGTGTGTGTGTGTGTGTGTGTGTGTGTGTGTACATGTGCATGTTCAGGCCCTGGCAGAGGGACAGACGGCGCCCTGGGAAACGGCCAAGAAGGACGAGAACCGCAACAAGAATCGCTATGGCAACATCATCGCTTGTGAGTACTGCAATGACATAGATAGACTCCTCCGGCGGGTGTTTGGCTGAATATGTATTTAGTCTGTGTTGGATTGGTTCAGCCCGGTTCGGTCCAGTATGGTGTGTAGCTGTGGTTTGGTTTGGTTTGATTTGGCGTGAGCTGGATGTTTTCTCAGAGTGGACATACAGGAACATTTTTACTCTAACTGTCCGGCCTGACGGAGGGTTGAACCGCTCGGCCTGCGGTTTTTGTCGGTTACAGCTTCCTTACAGCAAAAAACGGATCTGGACTGGGAGCAAGTAAACATTTGCTGTGGATGTAGATGAAGATATGTCGGACTCCAGAGTGGAGAATCAGTTGCTGTGATCAGTGCTACAGAGAGCTGTTGTTCTGTTTACTCAACGATCAATATTGATCAGGGTGGATTTCCAACTTTGACACTGTTAATACTCGGGCTTGCAGTTAATTTATATTTATATATTGGAAAATGAAATGCTTACACACAGACAGATTGCTCACATTGAGATGAACCCGTCCCCTCAGAGAACAGGGCAGGATACAGAATACCTTAAATGTCGTGTATCGATATAGCATTTCTTCCTTTTTCATACTTCCCGATCGAAGTATCAGGTATTTATCACCAGTATGAAAAGTACAAAAACAGTTATAATTCAACACGTTGAGGTACAATGCACACAGAGACCTTTAGTTTAAGCCGGAGGACACAGGTCCGAACCTCTGTGTTCACAACCATCTGCTCGGCTGAAGTGTCCTTCAACAAGTGACCGACCGGCTCCCTCCAGCTCCGGGTGTGTCGTACTGACGGAGGGTACCACCTGCTGGGAGCCAGATGCCAGGAGAAGCAGTTTTTTGGCAGACGAATCGTTCAGGGTTATAACATCTGACTCCAACATTTCAAATTCTCAATACCTCTGACACCGAGACCAATTCAATCAAAGCCAAACACTGTGTTGAATAGAAATACCACATTCATATCCATATTTAATTAGATCCATCCTTTTTTTTTTTTGAATTAATTAATGTTCAACCTCATTTTCTTAAATCTGATACAGGAAACTACTGTGGGAAAAAAATCACTTTACCTGCCCGATGATCAAAGCCTGCAGACTTTTGTTAAATCATGGAGGCTTCATTGTGGAGCAGGCTGCTGTAATGACGTGCACAGTGAAGCGTGTGCTGCATGAAGCAGGAGTGTGTTTGGTCATTAGAGTACGAATTAAAACGTGAACACGCTTCTTTGTGTTTGCTATGTTACCTCTGTGATACGTCTGTAGCTGGGTGTGCATGTAGGCTTGTGTATTTTGCCGCTGCCTCACATTTGTGGAAAGCGACCACCTCGGCCCGCAGATCTGTTGTCGTTGAAGAGAAAAGGAGGTTGACTGGTACAAAGACCACAGTAAATACTGTGTTGGTTACTTTGCCGTCTACCTTTTAAAAGACAAAACGCTTCCGGACTCTGCTTCTCAGATGATTTAGGGTTGTGACTGTCCACTCCAGGAAACTTTGCCATTTTAATAGCTAAACAACAGAACATCAGGGCTTTCATTATTGTTCGGTCAAGAAGTCATGCGATAAATAAAGCTGATAGTAGCTGGATGTCAGGGTAAACAATTCCAGACTCTTCCAATGGGTCATCATATTTAAAAAACATTATTTTATTTATGTGTGTGTGTGTGTGTGTGTTTGTGTGACTCCAGCCATAATGAGGCGAAATGTCTGGTCCTGGTTAAGGTTAGTTAAGATGTGAGTTGAGGTTTGGGTCAGGCGTGAACTGATCATTAGGTTAGGTACTACCGTTAGCTAGTATTTTATATGTGCGTTATTGTGGAGTATTGTTTGTAGCCCAACCTTCTCCCTCTCTCTCCCAAACACCTGCATGGGTGGGCCTGTGGAGCATCCGAAAACATCTGTCAGGTTTTCCGGTAGACAGGTGAAGACATATCTTGAGGTAAAGTTGAGGTGAGTTGTGAGGTAAGGTCAGAGTTGTGCTTCGACAAAAGGTGGTCATGGTTAAGTCTCCAGGAAAATCAATGTAATGTCCTTTGGAATCATGGAGATCAGACCGTGTGTGCGTGTGCATGCATACTAGCATCAAACCCACATGCACTAAACACAACCAACATGATCGAGCAGATTGTGCGTATGGGCTCACGTTTCTGCAGTGTGTGTGTGTGTGTGTGTGTTCGTGCAGCACACACAGCTCATTATGAGGGTTTAGATGTCACGGCAAAGAGACCGCACTAACCTGAAGGCTTTAAAATGAAACATTGTGCTGAAATGAAATAGCCTGACAAGAGCTCGATAGCCAGCAGGAATTATGATAAATTTGCTATTAGTACAAATCCTTTAATTACAAGGGCCTGGTAATGGAAACTGTCCATCTTGCCTGCTGTGATTGTAAAAAGACTAATTTTCTTGAGAAAATGTTGTAAAAGGCCCCGAGGGAAATGACTTTGTGTGCCGTCTTTATTAGAACAAGGAAATATGGTGCGACAGGCGGACCGACCGGCTGCGGCTAAAACTTTAAATATGGGTTAAAGGTTCTTCTGTCTTTTCTTCAGTCAGGTTGAACTTAAATTCGCCTTTTGAAACAAGGGATTTGCTTCCTGTTTTTGAGCTTGAGAGCTCCGAGCAAATTCCCTCTTGGCAACATGCGTGCTCTGTTGCACACTTTGAATACTGCTGGACTATGTTCCTCTGCCATCAACTATTCTTCACACTCACTACCTTCTTCATTAGTACCAATTTGAAAAACTGTCCTTAACCCTCTGGAGTCTGGAGCCACTTTAGGAGCAGTTGGACCTGCCTGGACATTTATATGCTACCTGTACTTATATTTAGGACAAAATACGCACCAATAATTTGAGAGCAGGAGTAAAACCATGCATCAATTTGTGCTTTTGCTTAACTCAACTTTAAAAATACACAAATTCCCACAGGCGTTGAGGGGTCGACACTGTGGGTCGTCATCAGCGCATTTGATTCGGCAAAGGTTTGTTCTACACTGGAATGCCATTTCCTTTTGTAACTTGGGTTCAGGAGTACACGAAATTGAACCATCAGCCTGTAACAGCTAAGCCATATATAGAGAGAGATATACTGTAGATGTAGACATTATAATCTGAGGCTATGACTTTAAATCTCTTGCACATATCAGGCGCAGAACTCGCCGACTAGATCAAATGCTCTGGAAGAACGTCTTTATCACTCCAACTTCTCGCTCAGTGTTGTCCCAACTTCCAGCACTAGGTCAGAAAGCCTGAGTTGTCCAGAGAGTATTTTTCAGTTTGAGCCGGACCGAGACCCTCCCCTTTGGTGGGACTCATTTCTGGTTGGCTGGTGAGGATCATGGTCTGAGGAACCTTCACCTGTGCAGGTGTGAAAGCGTCCTCAGTTTGGTCTTCATCCATCGTCAGCACCTCTAACCTGAACAAATCCTTGAAACCAACACCCGAGAACTCGTCCTGAAGATCCCTTTTGATCCTTCTGAGGACATTTGACTTTCTGGGATTTCTCTCCTTTGTTTTTCTCCTCTTCCTCCTCTTCCTCTCCTCCTCACATTCTATCACATGGTCTTCACCACCTCTCCCTCCCTCCCTCCCTCCCTCCCTGAATCAGTTTGAAAAGGGCTGATATGAGTTGAAGTGTTAACACACTCTTCCTCCAGCCATCTGCCAAACACAAACGGTTGCTGCCATGTTTGAAATCCCTTCAGCACACTGAATAAATGTTAATCTACCAGCCTCCTGTCCTCCTGTCTCATCAGCGCCTCCCCTCTTCTCTTCGTCTTCCGACTTCCACTTCCATCTTTCTCCTCTCCTTCTCATCCTCTTTTCTTACCTTCCTTCATGTTTTGTTTCTTCCCTTCTCTCCATCTTTTTGTCACATATCAACCTCTTACCACCTCCCTGCGATTCTTTTTCTTCATCTGCACTTTCCGTTAAATTTCCCTGATTTCCTCTCTCATCCCTCCTTCTCTCTTTTCCACCACCATTTTCTATTCATGTCAACCTTTCTCCCCTTTCCTTTCCACCTTTTGAATCTCCTCTCCTTTAACTCACGCCTCTCTCCTCTGTTAGCTTTCCCTCACCTCCCCTTTCTTCAATTTCCTCTCTTTTCCATTCATCCCATCTGATTACCTCTGACAGCTTTTGGGTTGAGGCAAAGCACAGTAGTGTTTCCTCATTACAAGCATCTGTCTGCTTCTATTTCCTCCTTCCTCTCCTCCGTCCCCTCCTCTTTGCTTCCTCTCCTCTGTTCTTTCTTTCTCAGCCCCTCTATCAGTTCATGAGCATCCGTCCCATCTGGTCATTTATAATTCAACAGTACCATGCCTTCAGAATGGGTATGTATTATATTTTTGTCACTGTAAACATTAACATTTCCATCATCTGTTTATTATCGAGACGAATCACTCAGTAGAAATACTTTTTAAACACAGTGGTAAAAGTAATTATATTCAGTGTGGACACCTTCACACCACCGTGCTGTGACCTCCTCTCATCTTCCCTTTTGCTCTTGTCCTCTCCGTGTTTTGCATTTTCCTCTCAGCTGCCACCACCTTCTCCTCTTTTTCTCCTCACATGTGTTGATCTCTGACTCTGACTCCTTCTCTCCACTTGATCTATTCACTATATTTCTTGGATCTGTCACTCTCTCACACTTCTCGCCCCCCTTTCTCCCTCCTTCTCTCCTTTTCATCTGTCTTTCTCAACCCCTTGATGTCCTCTTCCTGTTTCCTCCTGTTCTTCTCTCCTCTGTCACCCCCCTCCCCCCACTCTCTCTTACACACACACACACACACATTCATGCACACACTCAACCCAAAGCATCTATTCACTAATGTGCACAATTGTTCAGGTGAATGAGAATCATTACACACACACACACACACACACACACACACACACACACACCTCCTGGCATAATCACTATCTCTTCCTGCATCATGTTGCTCCTCATTACAGCTGAGGTTATCTCTCTCTCTCTCTCTTTTT